GGATTACGAGTGTAAGCCAGAAATGACGAACATGGCTTAAATTACTTGTAGATAAACGTTAGACAACGTCGTGTGAGATAATATCTTCATTGTGACGAGGCTTATGACACCCGTAATACAAGATGATTTAGGTACAAATTTACCAATAAAAGTTTAACAACAGAACACATTTGAACGGGAAAAAAAATGAAAATGTTATCGCAACGGCTCAGCAAATGCCATTGGTTTTATTCCCGCTCGGATGTAACTCTGTGACAGCTAAAATTGTTGTTACGGGTCTCAGTGTGATGTTGTATTTTTGTTAAAGCACTCAAGAGTAAAAAAAACTGTGTTTGCAACTGTAAAAAAATAATAAAATCGTAATTTGAACTTAAAAAAAAATATTACTGATGAATAAACTTTCTAAGGAAAATAAATAAAAAAGACAAACACAGAATGATTGGTTATGTCAGGATTTTAAAATTAATATCAAAACATTAATTACAAAAAAAAAACTCAATATTGATCGAAGATATAAATAAGTTTAAAAAAAATACTATTTACTTTTTTATCTATTAATACAATAATGTACATAATTGTCTCTTCATGTACTTTCATAACATTATTCCACCGTAAAACGAACAGAAATTATTTGTTTATTTCTTGAATTTCAGTAAATTGCAGAACAAAAAATTATTTATTTGCACTCACACAACATGTGAGGAAAATAACAAGGGACAAATTAGAAACTAATCGAGGCCTTTTCCGGACGGTCAAAAGAAAAATAAACCAGCCTTTATCGCCTTCTAGCCTCCAAACTATCACAAGGCTAAGAATCAGAGACACAGTTGTTACCTACCAAAAATCGCCCACTGTGACATTTAAGAAATACACAATTAATAAACTCACTTTCGTTTTTTAAAAAAAAAGGATAATTGATTCATATTAAGAATAAATTTTAAGCGAATTAATAATAATACTTAATAATAATGACGATTTTTTTTCAAAATTACCTGGAGAATAATTATGATGCTGTCGCGTCACAATGTTTTTATAAGACAGTGACAGCAACAATTTTTTCCTCTGATAACATTTATCTGGCTATTGAAAAATCAACCCTAATACTAGTATTGTTGTTCTTTGTATAACTCAGCTGACTTTTACAAAATGGCGTCGCGTGTGAAACAGCTGATGCATTCTGTCGCGCCAATACTTGATACATACTATATACATAATTTAATATCATTAGCTACGCATGCGTCTAGTTAGCCCGCCGGCTTTGTCTAAATTTTCTTTATTACATTTTTATTTAAGGATAACACTGGTGTTAGAATTTTTTGGTGGTCCAGAAGTTATGGCATTCTTTTACATGAGGTTGAGAGATCAAAGCTGACAGTATCAATGAAACAATGTTATGTGCTTAAAAAGGAAAAACACAGCGTATGTGTGGTGTCACGCTGGTTTTCTGTGAGGCCGTCGTATCACTCCGGTCAAGCCGCCATTCGTGCCGAAGCATGGCCCTCTCACACATGAAATGAATGAAACAACTCCTTTTCCTAAGTAAATGTTCTTACCTATATGGTTATCAAATAATAATGGTAGTACTAATTTAAACAAAGATAAAATGGCCATGTAATAACAATATCATTTATGCAAATTCTATCAAAATATAGCCTTTATATCCTCCATTAATATAGATTAGTTTTCAAACAGCTATTTCCCGTCGTCCATTTAAAACCAATTACCCCTCAAACTGCTTGAAGAGCTTCTAATGGATCAGTCTTGTAAACGCTGTCAAATCGAGTTGATAATATTCGAGAGACTATTGGAAGTAAATGGGTCAGACCTCTAATGATATATTTATAGATCTTTAGACACAATTTGGACCACCTGGTAGTAAGATTTGCTTTTGATAATACTTACGGGACAGAAATACTGGACATTTTCGTTTAAATTGATTATGAGCTTATAGTTTATGTATTATTAAGTGAATTAAAAGCAAATAATTTTTAAAACTGTAAATTAATTATGTTTAAAAGCTGACAGACGTGTTTTTTTTTCGAGATAGCCCGATTAGTTTCAAGCCACGCTTGGAGCTCACATGCATGACAAGTACTGTGCGATGTACGACAAAATTAACGTCACGCAGGTAGCCTGATCCAATGCTAGTAATGTCTTTACCCGATTAAGTGCCTGTTTCACCACCTTCATATAAGTTCCCAATAAGTTTATGTGAAAAATTGTTCACATTGATTACGTTCCATATTCAAGTTGATCTGATATAAAGCCATATCTTCTACATTCAGACATTAGGACACAGGCCCTTCCTCGGATGTAAAATTAACTCTTTGGTTATTCTAGATAAGATAAACTCACCTTTGTGCCGAAATCCGTTAGAAAATATGAACACAATGTTTCCCGCGACTTTGTTCGCGTGGAATAATGACTTCCAGGAGATTTTTGGTCAAAACTATCCTATGTCCTTTTTCAAGTTCCAAACTAGTTCTAAACAAGTACAAGTACCAAATTTCACACAAATAGGTTAAGTAGTTTAGGCGTGAAGAAATACAAAAAGATAGATAGACATACACAGACAGAAAATATGTTGGACGCAGGAACACAAACTTAATATAATCAGATAATGCAAAAGTGACTCTCTTTTGCATTAATTATATTAAGTTTGTATTCCTTGGTCCAACATATTTTCAAAAACTTTCGCATTTCTAAACAAAGTAAAGACCCAAGCAAGTTATGTTCTTTAAATTTAAAAATAATTTAATTTTACCTTTAAAATTTTAACAAAAGAAACAAGACACGTGGCATTATGCCAGACAAAATTGATTCATATCATTTTACCCCCATGACTTTATTTCGCGACGAAACTTTGCTAAAGCATTAGTGTCTTACGGATAAATGACATTATAAAACCCAATGATAGGTATGACAACAAAGGCTCGTTCGTACGGCGACACGGATGTTTATATAGCTTTAATGGATGGGGTTCTTACCAAGACGGTGAATTTCAAGGCACCACGCCTAATAGACTTTGGAAGGGTTATGTTTTAATAAAGGTGAGGATGGTGTCAATTCATTCGCTTAGCTTAGCTTAAATAGAACAAGTGCGGGAGTGTCAAGCTTCGGCACGAATAGGTTGGCTCGATCAGAGTGATACCATGGCCTTATAGAAAACCGGCGTGAAACAACCACAGCGTTGTCTTTCGAAGTGTCATGTGAGATTACTGGAGGCTTGATCATTCCCCACCCCAAATCCCAAAAACCCCAAAGCACTAATCCCAAAAAGGCGGCAACGCACTCGTAACTCCATTTTTGTTGCGGATGTCCATGGGAGGCGCTGATTGCTTACCATCAGGTAATCCGTCAGCTCGTTTGCCGACTTATACCATAAAAAATAAATCGTCCGTTTCTGTCCTCTGCTGGACATAGGCTTCACTAATTGCATGCCATCTTAGTTCGATGTTCAGTTCTTTTTATCAAACCACAGCTAGTCACCCTATGGATATCGTCAGTACACTTAGCTGGATGGCACTCGACTACTTTTGCCAAAATAATATGTAAACTAATAATTCTCGAATATAATGAAACGATAATAAAAATTGTAAATTTTAATTATTTCGTTGTTATTGGAAGAGGCCTTGAAGACACACTTCGAGGAGCACAAACACCTGCAAATGAATTCTCAAATTTATTGGTAAATAAAGACTATTAATTTGACAAAAATCATCTTAGTTTGCACACTACATTTTCCACGATTGCATCTCCAATAAATAACTTATTATCGTCTGTCTTTTAGGAAAATAAGAAAGAATTAATGATTTGTTCTTGGCTTCTAACTCCGTTTTTTATAAGCATGTTTACTAGTCGTGGGTATCTTTAGTACATCGTTTATCCGACATTTAGCTTCAGGCCTTTACAACTATACTATCTTTGAATAAATTTTCAACAATGTATTTACTTTTATGTCAGTAGTTTCATCTAAATAGCTCGTGGGTATTTCATTGATGTATTTATTATTTCTTTATTTTTAATATCGAATGTTTACGATACAATGAGAAAATATACCTAACAAAAAATATCCCATTTGGATTGCTAAGCTAATGAATAAGAAAGCTGGTAGTGGTGTTTTCATGTTGGAAATGTTTTTTCTAAAGATGTGTGGATACTTGTTAGTCTATCTCTTAACAAATGGAACAGTAGAAATAGGCTGGACTGGAGTGATACTACGGCCTCATTACTGGCTTACTACTGGCGTCAAGTCACTCGTATGTTTCGTCGTGCGAGAGGGTCGTCGTCGTGTATATCCTATGCCCAATCCCTTACGTCCATTCCCAGATTGGCCTCATCTTTAGCTCTCAAAAAGCCAAACGCGCTTGCAGATCCTTTGACAAAGAGTCAAGTGTGGGAGAGTCATGCTTCGGCACAAATGGGTCGGCTCGACCGGAGTGATACCACGGCCTCACAGAAAACCGGCGTGAAATAACCACGGCGTTGTGTTTCGCCGTGTGAGTGAGGTTACTGGAGGTCCAATCGTTCCCCTCCACTAATCCCTCCTCAATCCCTAAATCTCCAAATCTCTAATCCCTAAAAGATCGGCAATGCACTCGTCACTCCTTCGTTGCGGGTGTCCATTGTCGGCGCTGATTGCTTACCATCAGGTAATCCGTCTGCTCGTTTGCCGACCTACATAAAAAGAAAAAAAAAAGAGCGGCGCCGATTGCTTACCATCAGGTGACCGGACTGCTCGTTTGCAGCATTATACTATAAATAAGATTATTTTGAACTCAAATATATTTTTTGTAACCAATGGCACATTTTCTAATTCTAATGCTAATAATAAAAATGAAGACGCTGTCAAAATCTAGTGTACTACAACGAAATAACCAGTCACAATCAACGAACAAACTCACAGACAGACATGCATGATTTCTTACAATGCAAGCCCCACTGCAGGGAATCAGCGAAGCGTCTTCATATAAAACACTATATTATAGCAGTTTCTAGCATTTGGTTTACATACGTGAGCCAATCAAATCATCGATAGTTTGTGTTAGTGAAGTGAAAAACGTTAAACATAATATCGATAAAATGAAGAGCGCATACTTATTAGCGGTTCTGATTTTCGGTATTGTAAAAGCGAGTGAAATCGATAAGGAGGTGAGAATCTGTTTCTTTTTTTACTATCATTCGTTTTTCTTTTTTTTATTTGTGGAAAATGTGTCGTTAATTTTTTTTTTCATTTAAATTTTTCTTATTGTGTGGTAATTATAATTGTTGTTTATAAGTGTTTAATTTTCTATTTCAACAAGAAATTGAAACAAATTATTATTTGATATATTTAGAAATAAATTCACACACGAAATCAACTTGACATCTATTTTTAAATGAAATGAACGTCTCAATAAATTTTAATAAAATTAATCAGTGATTACGCTTTAGTTTAATTGGATTTTTTGAATCATACAATAATTTTCTTTAATGTTTATCTACCGTGCCGATTAATTAAAAGTAATTAAAATTAAAATCGCCTGTACTGTTATGAAAACATGGTTTATTATAATTTTGTCTCTACTTAATTAAATATTATTTATTTCTGTATTAACAATTAAATAAAGTAATATTAATAATTTTATATTTTTGATAAAATTATTAATCGTACCATAATTATTTATAAATATTTATTCACTTAGTTTTTTTAATGATTTCGAAAATTTCAGTAATTATATCGTTTATAACATTATTAATACCTAACTAACAGTGCCTCGCAGTTTCACTCGTGTATTTTATAAACTATGTTTACCAAAATATAGTGTAAGAATTTAACAATGAAAGAATTTAGCCTCATCGGTGAAGCAGTTTCGGAACTTATTCAATCCAACTAGACAAACATTCAAAACTTTTCACTTTATTATAGTATTATAGATATGATTTTCGTAATTTAAAATAAATTACTCCCAATAATAGGTCCCAACTATACATCCAATAAGGCTCATTATCGAAAACAATATAAAATCAAGAATGCAGACATTCTTTTAACAATAAAGAGAATCTATCCATTCAATTTTATCTCATATTTTCATCATTCATGCGTAATACTTTTCCGACATCTAAAAAGACTTTTTTTCATAAAAGCGGGGATTATATTCAATTGTTCGAATATTATCGGGATGGTATATATTATATTATTATACGTATCCTTTGTTCTACTATTGGAACAGACGGCATCATGTAGGATTAAATTTAGCCAGTATAACAGGAGCTTCGATTATGAAAAATTTTCTTACAATGCTAGCTTAAGTTATACTGAAAAGTGTCATTTGATATGCTATCTTTACAGTTTAATCACTTCTATGGATTAATGTGTAAGTAACATTGAATTATAGAAGTATATTTTTTATGTTTTAATATTATAAAAAATAAAACGAAGTCAGACTGTTCGATGTATTTTTGTTACGCCAGAATCAATTTTGTTTGGTTTAGCAATTGGGTTGGAGCTTAGTTTGATAATTATATTTGTGACATTTATTTAATTTTGGTTTTGGTACGAGTTATAAATTTGCTTACTCGCGAAGGAGTAGATGTAGTGATATCAATTTACAACATAGGAAGATAATCTCCAGAAGTAACAATATGATAGATAAATATAACATGCTATTATGTATTAAGTTTTAGTGATAAGCATAGATTTAATACTAGACTAGGGTAATAAGACGATTTGTACTGCAAGCATCTTTAACCTCTTTAAGCTGTGCCCTACCGGGTCCATATTGTTTCCAATATATCGTTCGACTTTATAAAAATACCACCTGTATAACATATGGAATGCTAATAAAGTATTTGAGTATTGAGCTTGATAATAAACTCCGTCCTCTTCCACTGATGTCTTCAACTAATTAAACAGTAGTTCCTATTCAATTCCTTATTATTATTATTATACTTGATCGTCATTTAAATTACTTAACTCAGTCCTTAGCAATTGTTTAAGAAGCATAAATACTTTAAGTAATAATTAAATTTCTCTGAGTACAACTGTTACATAATAAAATGTATGAGTTAATTTTATCTGTCACACCTATAAAATTTGTATGTTAGCGTAAAACTCAAAATCTAAACGTTTTCAAAGTTATGATAGGTTTTATTAACATTTATTATAGATATTTTGGAGAGGAGTGGAGAAATTATCGAAGAGCTCCTTTAGCGTCAGCCCACCTTGGGTAAGGTTGAAGAGTGTCAAATTCTTACTGACTAAACTCCTCTTAACTCCTGATCAGTATCACTGCGCTTGACACGAAACGTAGAGCATATTTATTATGACTGATTATAGTTATAAAACAGTTACTAATAGGAATCATTATATGCGCTGGTAACGTTTGCATTTTTCTTTTGTTTTTTTTTTATATGATAGGACGGCAAACGAGCGGGCGGATTACCTGATGGTAAGCAATCGGCGTCGCCCATGGACACCTGCAACAAAGAAGGAGTTACGAGTGCGTTGCCGACCTTTTAGTAATTGGGATTTTGGGGATTTTGGGACTGGGAAGGGATTCGGGTAGGGGAAGGATTGGGCCTCCGGTAACCTCACTCACACGGCGAAACACAACGCAGTGGTTATTTCACGCCGGTTTTCTGTGAGGCCGTGGTATCACTCCGGTCGAGCCGACCCATTCGCGCCGAAGCATGGCTCTCCCACACTTAAAAATACTATATATAATATTATTATAATTATGAAACAGTTACCAATAGCAATGATTATATGCCCTGGTAACATTTGCATTTTATTAACTTAGTAGGTAATAAATAATCAATCTTGACTGAAAATCGTTGACTGACTGAAAAACTAGTTGAGAACTTTTCTGACGAATGACATGCTCACGCATTTAAAAAGTAAATGACAATTACAAGACATTAATTAATGATGTATAGAAGAAAGCCTATTGGTCGCCTAATTATCACATTACTTCAAGATTATCGGTATTTGACTGAAAGCGGTTTTCTGTTACAGCTGAGTGCGTGCACGCAACTCCGCTAATGAATTTTCTTTGAATTGATATTGCACATTATAATGAAACACAGCGCTTGTTGGAATTGATGAACTATTTGTATGTAGCAAGTATTTAGTATATGTCGCGATATATTGAAGAAAATAATAGTATAAGGTGTTATTTTGTAGTCATTTCACAAGGCACATATATTATTATGTAGCCTGACCTCATCTGGCTTTGGTGGCCCGGAGTTTAGGGGTTCCAAACCCGACAAGCAAACCATGTAAATTTTCCAAGTTATATGTACTTTCTGAAGATTATTTATACACATGTAGGTAGACGGTGAAGGTAAACATCGTGCATAAACCCAGTCTTTAAGTTATAAATCACCAATGTGCCTTAAGCAAGCGAGCTAATTAATGCTCATTTTATTCCATTAGGCTATTCCTTAGAAGTTACTTTTAGGCCAATACTATAATGTCCAATACTGTAAAAATCTGAAATACATTATTAATTAAAATGTCCAGTTTTGATAAAATTTTGAGTAATGTAGACAGAATGGAATAGCAATAAGAAATACAACGTTGATATAGAAGTTTAAGACAATATAATTAATATAAACCATTCTGAATGAATAACATGGCAGTTTCGGGTCATTAAAAACAAAGAAAGTTAAATGACGGTCATAGAGAGAGAGACCTGATGAGATATATATGATGACGATGATGATGATGATGAAATGACCGTTATTCGTGTTTTTCAACTTAAACCAACACAGTTGCTCGTTAATAAAGTAAAACCAAGACACATTCTGTTATCTTCTTTATAATTAAAATAATATCGGGTTAGTTACACAATTTATGACTCGAGAACTGAAAAAGAAGTAATTGATAGGGTAGTTCAGAACCAAAAGAAGATCATAGGGTAAAGAAGAGTAGAAATAGGGTAGGTAATAACAGTAGTGAAGGAAGGAAGGGAAAAATCTCGTATATTTTTAAATATATAACAGTTTTAGGAGGAGAATAATAAATACAAAACATATGAAAAGAAATGTGCATATAATATTTTCACGAACAAGTCGGCTGGATTGTAGAGCTGTGTGTATCATAACGGGCTCGACCAAGTGGTCGCCAGCTATGCGTGTCTTAATTGGAGATTACTGTTAGCTCCAATTAATTATGGAACACATCTCCGGGAACATGATCGCTAGAGGCTATTTACTGATGTAGAATTATGTTGATTAATATTTTATTATTTTGTTAATAATTTAATACTGTTTTGTTATTGCAATTATGATTGCGGATGTTAAGGTTTTTGGATTGATTGAAGCAGTCCTGTGATTGAGGTTTTTTTTAAAAATATAACAGTTTTAAAAATACATTTTAAAACTGTTCTATTTTTAAAAAAAACCTTTTTAATTTCTCGTGGATGCTATTCACTGTTCAGTCAGATAACTCTTGAATATAAAAAAACATAAGACAACACAACGCTTTTTCATACCAAAACGATATAAAATTAACTTACCATAGTAGTAACATATTTTTTTTGAGAAACTAGCAGACGGTTTTGTTTATGGCAAGCAATCGGCGCCGCCCATGTACATTAGTAACACCAAAGGAGTTCTGATTGCGATGCCGGCCTTTTCTGAAAAAGTGTTTCGGATATTTAAGGATTGAGAAGGAATAAGGGACGGATGTGGGCCTCCGGTAACCTATCTTATACGGCGAAATACAACGCTGATTTGTTTCACGCCTGGTTTTTGTTAAGGGCCTCGGTATCACTTCAGTCGAGTCGATCGATTCGTGTCGAAGCTTGGCTCTCCCACACTTGCGGAATAAAATCACATAGTAAAAATAAAAATAAATGCATAGTTTAAAAATACAGTAGCTTACGACTTATTGTAAGTTTTCAATATAACACTCATTATATTCCAAACGTAACAAACATAACAATATTCTATCAAAACAAACAAAGCGTCTCTTGAGTATAGTAGAGACAACTTTATTACTAAAACAATTCTGGAAAACCGCAATCAGTCTATTAGTGCCATAACACTAAACAGAATTACTAGACGTAAATTGTATTACACGTTAATTTTATTCGACATAAATGTCTTAATTACTTATCGTTACTTTTCTACTATAATTACTCTTGTTGGCACTTTATGGGCATTGT